GTTCTCATTACCACGAGTTTTTATGCATGTGTATTTCAAGTTTTCTTACAACATGAGCAGTACTCACCACGAGTGCTAATCTTTGTATGGCATTATATTCATCTGAATTTTTATCATACTTGCTTATATTATCATCTAATCACTTGATTTATTTTATAGTTTATTATGGAAAAACATATAATTGATTATCTTAGAACAAGTGAATATCGAAGTTGGGGTGTCCTAAGTGTTTTACAATATTTGTCTGTTAATATTAAATACACGAATGACAATATCAAAGAAAATTTCTCGGATATTACAACAACAATTAGATGTAACATTACAGGATCCCAATATCTTCAAGTTAGCGTGAGATAAAGCAAAAAAAATTTCAGAAAATTTAGCATTAGATATAAATAAACCGGAAGTTCAAGATTTTCTAAGCGTAATGGTGGCTAGTTATAAGCTTACTTTTAATGTTTACTACTAAAATTTATTAAACTAACTATACTAATAACTGCCAATAGGAACAAGAGGAAGAAGAAATACCAGCCCAAGACGTTCAACCTTCTCAAGACAAACCAGAACTTTCACAAGAACTTTCACCACTACCATATACGTTATATGAAAACGATATGCAGTTTGTATTATTTATTTCTGTTGTAAAGGATTTGCATTCAATTTTATATATATTTATGTATTTTTACTTTATTTTACAGTTATACAATCATTATTTATACTCCTAGTATAATTTCAAAGAATTAATTAACAATCGGAGTAGAAAATAAATTACTAGTAATAGAAGGAAGTTCTTACATAAATGATGAAAGTAGCAAATATGGGAAAATAATAAAAAATTCATGGCCCCTAGGACTCAACTTAAAGATACTACTTCCGACTAAGTAAGTTGTGATAAAAATTGGAAGTATTTTATTAATATTTAATATATACTAATTTGCTTGTTTTTTGAGCAGAGTCGATCTAACAGATAAAGTTGTAGTTAACATTGAACAAAAAGGGGTAACAAAACTGGTAATTAAAAAGTCGCGAGTAATGCTAACAATAGCATAATTTAAATTTTTTTTTGCGGTACCTCGAGCAACAAACCAGTAAAAAAGATTTGGGTTTGATATGATTAAACATTTAGCAAAAAGACATTATGAATATAATTATTAAAAAATGAATTAAGAATAATATTATGTTACAAATCTACATTTCTTTTTGAAGCAAGAAGTTCTTTTCCTTATGTTTGACTAAGCTTATATAGAATATTTGGATTAGTTAATTGTAATTAAATATTATTTTGTGTGGAGATATTTTTACTATGTACAAGATATCTTATAGGTTACTTGGATATAGTTTTGTAACTTACATGCACAGTTCTTCATAGTATTATTATATTTTACATAATATAGTGCTCAAATAATTAATAAATTGATATCACTTTTAATTTTTAATGAAATATGTTTAGATTGTATTTTATTTATTTATTTGTATGTTATTATTATTTATTTACAGCGCATAGCCGTAAACTATCATTTTCACAAATCATTTTTTGACTAAAAAATGTGTATTGATTTTTTAATAAGGATATAAAATATCGATTTTTGGAAACTGATCCGATCTTGTGGATACGATAAACACTTCTCTTTAATAATAATTTTATTTTACCAAAACTCGTTCTTGCTGAGGGTAATTACTTGACAAAATTCACAGCAGAAGAATTAAATGGATTCTGGGGAGGATATTTGGGTCAACCTCTCAAAGATCATACTCACATCATCATAGAATACCTTATTTGGTTTTGAAGCAAGAATTAACAGGAGTATTGGCACGTATAGAATTATGGGATCGAGGTAAAAGTTCGTCTAGGGTCTAGAAGTGTCTAATAATTATATATATTCGTACTATACTTTGTTTTACACTCTAAACTATAAATTATCCTGTTACTATCACAAGAATGCGACGAAAAGCGGTGGAGTTAATTGTCTATTATTGACATATTGTTATTAAAAAAAAATCCTAGAAAATTTTTTTATACCAAACTATTACTAAAAAAAATCTAATTAAATTTTTTATAAATCTCACTAAACACAATCTATTGTTATAAAAAAATCTTTCATTAATTTATTAGTAGTATTAGTATAAAACTCACTCACTATATCCAAAAGTACACTAGTTTATTAATTAAATCTAACAGCCAATGTTTTATTATTTACGACAAACATCACTAAAACAAATGTATTGTATATTACTTTATTTGATATAATAAATTTTATTTAACAAATTATAAAATCTATATTTTAATCTTTACTAGAAAAAAATATAAATTTATTTGTCATACTCCCATAGACCGAACATAGCTTTTAGCCTACCCCCAAATTAAGATAATTTTAAAATTCATATATAAAAAGGCTTTTAGCTATAATAAAATGATTTAACATTTAAATTCCATAGAATGTTTCAATTTCAATAATATTAATAATTTCATTAATAGGCGAATTATCCCAACATTTTATCATTAAATCAAATAAGATTTTGGAGTTCCTTTAATATCGAAAATTCATTACGTAATAATAATATATCATATTATAGTATAACACTATAATTTGAATCTTCCAAAAAGATTCTGAAAAATTCTTATAAAACGTTTCCCATATGAAAATCGCGATGTATGTATCCATGATCATGTTTAACTGCTATTTCTAATAATATTTCTAATCAAGTTGAAAATATTAGAAAGGGAGAAGAATGAAATATAAGATCTTCGGTATGAAAGCCATCTGATCTACTTAATCTTCCATCAACTTGTGTCCAAAGAACTTTCTAACATTATTTACAGTTATACTAAAAAATATTCGAATCTCCGTTTCATTACTATTGATTTCTTATCTATTACATTCCATACGGAAATGACAACAATTCACATCCTAAAAAAAATGGAAAAACTCCACTATATCATGACACGACAGAAATCTAATTACTACAAGCAATCTTCTTGTAAAAGCAAACAGTGTAATAATGATAGTAAGGTCACTTCCCGCAACATTACCTAGCAAGAACTACCGTTCCAACATCATCACCCAGAATGAACCTGAGTTCTCTTTGATGTTTGACTCGTCATCAATACCATTTTGTACCTCTTAGGATGGTGAATGGTGTCTAAATCTGAATGGTAAAAATTCTGGTGGTATGCGTTTATTTTATTGTCAACAAATTATTTCTATTTTAAAAATAAATTTTTTTTTTAGCTCTATCAATAAAGAATTTGAAGTGATCAGCCAGATTGATGTGCTACGGTAAAATTGCTTAATATTATTAATTAGGCAATTTCTATTTGTACACGGGGTGTTTAAACACGGGTCATATTAGTAGATTAAAAACGGCATTCAAAACCTCCTTTAATGCCTTAAGTAAATTTGCAGAGCAGGTGAAAATACATATATTTATCTGTAATATAATAAGAATAAAAAGTAAAAGAGTATAATGTTGGTAGCATTCAATTTCAAATTAAAAAACAAAAAATTAGTCTATTAAAAATTATATTTATATGACCCGTGTACAAACACCCCGTGTAAACTTAGAAATTTTCTATTAATTATTAAATTTCTACTATATTTTTTTATTATTATTAATAAAAAAATACATTAACAGTTAAATTAAAATTAGTGTATTTTGTAGTTATTATTAATTATTTGCAAATTATTTATTAATAAAGTTCGAATCAAATGAATCAAATGGAGAATTTTGAAACGATCAGCAATACTCTCTATCGTGATTAAAATAGTTGGTCGCATTTTTTAAGGAATTGATCACATAGCTAGCTGTACGTAACAAACAATATTAAGAATTACTTGGCGGCTGTTATTCGTACTCTGTAGTAAACCATGTGATTAGAATCACGTAAATTGTCAGTTTATTGCGCCAGAAGAGATCTTTCTTGTTTTGAGTTGGTGGATCAAAGAGAAAATGCACTCTATGCCAACAGTCTGGACATAATTCTCACACTTGCCAATTAAAGATTGATTACAAGGAGGGTGTACCTCCTAAAATCTAACTTAGAACAAAAAACTATATATATATAATGAAAATATTATTTTTAAATTTTATATAAAAACTTAATAAAATTTAAACTTGGTTTAATTATTATTCAGTCATGGAGTAATAGTTAGAATGGATTTACTTTATTTATTAGGATTAGTTGTTTTGAAAAATTAATGAAGGATCCCGTTGAAAAGCACATTATTTTTATATAAACTTCTGAAAATTCATAAGCAATATATACTAAAACAATATGTGGGTGAATCAATTATTTAAAATATTAGAAATTTCATATTACTTGTAGTAGGACGTCCAAAAATTTAAAGAATAAAATTTAAGTTTATTTATAAAATTTACAAAATTTTCTATGTTATACCACTAATATTAAAAATCTTCCAATTCTTCTACAAATTTTAATTTAGAATCAATAATTAAATCACGATATTTTTGAATTTTAATATTATATAACTCAAATTCCTTCACTTCATCTTTCAATGAAAACAAATCAGTAGTGATATTAATAATAGCCAAATATTTGACTCTTTTCTTTTTCATAATATATTCTTTTATATAGGATAATATAAGATCATTAGTATCATCACAACCTTCCTTATCTTTACTTCCCCTATTATTGATTAACAATTTTTTAATAAAAGTATTCTGAGAATTTTTTAAGAACATTTCAAAATCATTCTTATATTTAATACTAAGAGTTAAACTTAAATATTCTAATTTAATAGGAAGTAATTGACCTAAATTTTGTAATATAATTGAACTAAGTTCAATAGTACTTGAAAGACCATAACTGTCAAAGATATTAATAGAAAGATGATTAAGATTTTGTTTTAAATTTTCAATTAAATTGAATAATGGATAAATAATTCGACTATTAAATACAGTCAAATCAAGAAATTTGATACTTTTACAATATTTTATAATTAATTCAAGTAATTGTTTCTCCTTAGATAACAAAGCAGAACCAAATCTAAATCCAAAATTTTCTAAATAATCACCATATTTTTGTAATAATGATTCAACAATTTGTAATTCATTATTACTATATAAGAATATAGATTTTAACTTAAATGGTCTATTTAAGTTAATTATTTGTTGAATAAAATCAGTACCTAGAATACAATCAATGATATGAACAGATTCTAAAACATTTAACTGTTTAAATAGTTTGCCTAAATTGGTCATAACTTTGAAATTGAGGCTAGAAAATATGATTGTATTTAAAGTATTTGATGAATGATTATAATCTTTTGATAGCAATGATGATTGATATATAGGAAAACTATTATAAGTCAATGAAATTTTTTTAAGATTTTGACATAAATTAATCATTTGAGATGTACGATTTTTTGTATGGCTAAATGAGGCATCAGTACAACTGAGTTTTAAATTTCTAATATTATGAAAGAAACCTGGGTTATGTAACATTAATTCAATCATATCATCTATATAGGAATCATAACAGTGATAATAGGTGATGAAAATATCAAAAGTATGTATGTTTACTTCATTTTCAATAAATATTTTAAATAATGACATGTAAATTAATCTCTTAAATTCAAGTATTGAGCTATTTTCAAGTTTTAAAATTCTATCAACATCTTTAGACCATTCTTCAATAGAAGAAATAATTTTTTGTGTATACAAATATTTTAAAAAAATGGGATAATTAAAAAGTGTATTTGAAGGAAATAAATTATCATCAATTTTATATTCATTTAATTGTGCTTTTAAATCACCATTTAAATTATATAAATAAATTCCAATAAAATTATAATTTTTGTTAGGAATTGAAAATGGATTTTCCCATAATAATGGAATCGCTAAACGACACCATAATCTGTTAACTAATATACATGAATGTAAAGTTGAAAAATCATTCTTAAAATATTTTATAACATCATATGTTAATTCAGGTAAATCTGAAAATATTTTTGAATATGACATATTGTAAGCGGTGAGAAATAAAAGTGGTATTAGTGTATGGGAGTATCGCTTATATTAATTTCAGAATTATAATTTCCGAGTATTGTCGATCCATGTGGTGTAACATACTCAATAATAGGGTATTAAGTTGTATTATGTCAATCAAAGTTTACCGATGATGATCACGGAAATTATCATTTGACGCTTTAATACTCAAAAATTTTATTTATTAAACCATTTCATAAAATAAATAGTATGAAATGGAATACACATATTATTAATTTCTTATCAATTATAAATTATTTAAGTTGGTCTTTTTTTTAACGGAAATTTGCTAAACGTCACATACATATTACATAATTTCTTTATTTGATAAATACATAACGAATTTATTGTGAGAAATCCAAAGTCAAATTTTTGCTGGAAAATTTTAATTTGATCATTTATTATTGAGAAATTATTTTTGGTTTATCTACTTTTAAATTTAGATAATTAAATGGGTCGGATACCATAGAAGTAATGTTTCTTGCTAAAAATTTTTTGATTTTTTTTGGCTGATTAGCTGGAATCACTTACGTATTACATTGATTTATTATGTCAATCTTAAGACTATTAGAGCGCTAAAAAAAGAAAGTTTTTCAATATTCAATACTTTACAATTTTTAATTTTAACTATAAATAAATTATTCCGAAATAAAATTGGTATTTCTACAATTTACCGTATATTTTTTTTCATCGGTAAAATGTTTATCATAAAAAATAAAAAAACGAGGAAAAAGAATTTGAGATCAAATCATTCCAAAATAAGTTTAGATAATTTTAACTAAATAGTTTATTTTGAAACAAGGTATAATTGAAACTTGGAGGCTTAACTCCGAAGTCCACTAAAATGACGTGACGATGTACAATATAGATTATAAGTTACTCATATCAGTCATATGAATAACAAGTGAGTCACAACACGTCATGAGTAATTGAGTATATAATTTAAAAAAATATAAATATCTTTTATCTTCTTTTTTTTCATCTTCTTTATCTTCTTTTTTTTAGGTCTATTTTTTTCGTCCAGGTCTTCTCTTTATTAGGTCTCTTAGGCTCCTTTCTTTACGTCTTCCTTTAGGTATGTGGGTTGGGAGTGTGGGTTTGTGTTGTGTGTTGGTAGTGTGTGTATTTTTCGTATTCCCTCCTTCCCTTCGTCTCCCTTTCCCTTTCGTACTCCCCTTTCCTTTTCGCCCTTTTCGTACTCCACTTCCCCTTTCGTATTCCCCTTTCCCTTACGTTCTCCCCTTTCGTTCTCCCCTTTCCCTTTCGTATTCCCCGTTCCCTTTCGTATTCCCCATTCCCTTTCGTACTCCCCATTCCCTTTCGTATTCCCCATTCCCTTTCGTATTCCCCATTCCCTTTCGTATTCCCCTTTCCCTTTCGTATTCCCCTTTCCCTTTCGTATTCCCCTTTCCCTTACGTTCTCCCCTTTCGTTCTCCCCTTTCCCTTTCGTATTCTCCGTTCCCTTTCGTATTCCCCTTTCCCTTTCGTATTCCCTTTTCCCTTTCGTATTCCCCTTTCCCTTTCGTATTCCCCTTTCCCTTTCGTATTCCCCTTTCCCTTTCGTATTCCCCTTTCCCTTTCGTATTCCCCTTTCCCTTTCGTATTCCCCTTTCCCTTTCGTATTCCCCTTTCCCTTTCGTATTCCCCTTTCCCTTTCGTATTCCCCTTTCCCTTTCGTATTCCGTATTTCCCTTTCCCTTTCGTATTCCGTATTCCCCTTTCCCTTTCGTATTCCCCTTTCCTTTCGTATTACCCCTTTCCCTTTCGTTCTCCTCTTTCGTATTCCCTTTCCCTTTCTTACTCCCCTTTCCCTTTCGTATTCCCTTACACTTTCGTATTCCCCTTCCCTTTCGTATTCCCCTTTCCCTTTCGTATTTCCCTTTCCCTTACGTTCTCCCTTTCGTTCTCCCCTTTCCCTTTCGTATTCCCCCTTTCCTTTCGTTCTTCCCTTTCCCTTTCGTTCTCCCTTTCCCCTTCGTTCTCCCTTTCCCCTTCGTTCTCCCCTTTCCCTTTCGTATTCCCCTTTCCCTTTCGTACTCCCCTTTCCTTTCGTTTTCCCCTTCCCCCCTGATCAATGTTGCTGCACCTCAACGTGGTGATCAGGTGACAACAAGTTTTTTAAAAGACTTGGCTAAGTCAGCAACAAATAATCATGAATGGATTTAATAGAACATGCCGCAAGTTTAATTTTGAAAGAGCCGTTCATTACCCGTAATAAACCCATCAGTCCATATTGCTTTATAAAAACACCTTGAAAAAACCCTGACCTTAATAAACCAAATATAATGATCTACATATAATTCCGAATGATTTTTCTATTCCTAATTAATTTATTATTATTCTTGAAGAAATTAATTAAATATATAAACAAAATTAAAAATGCTTGTTTCAATAATAATAAAAGATCCCTACAAAAGTTTCTAATAATAGTAAGTTCATAGAATAATTTTAACTTCTTATTAAAAAATTTAGTTGCCATTCTTCAAAGAATTTCAATAATTTTTTTACCTGAATAAACACATTGTTTATCAACGATTCTTTTCATTCATTAGCTGAATAGTAAATAGACATGAATATTCTTTAAGTTATTTCAAAATTCCTATAAGTAATACAATACATTCCTTGGAAGACCTTTTTTTCCTTTTTAATTGAAGGTAAAAAACTTAAAGACAGAAAAAAACGATTTATTCATGTTTATATGATATAATTTATAATGCGGATTATATACACTCTTTTTTTTTATTTTAATCGTTCTGCCATGATGATCTTGAGAATAATATGATTTCTTTATCTGTTATACAGTAATTGCTTTAGTTTGCACTCCAATTTTCTTAAACTTGATTTATCTCCCTTTAAAAATCAACTATATAAATGATAAATTTAGAAAATTTTATAGGATTCTAATATTATATATAGAGAACTAAATTCTATAAAAGAAGAACTTTGAGTGATTAAATACGAATGTTACAATTAATTATTCAATTAAAATTCAAGCAATTATTCCATTTTTATAATTGTTAAGGTTAATAACTTTTATTTATTTTATTAATTTATTTATTTATTCTTTTTTTTTTTGATGGGAAAAAGTTAGAAAAGCTAAAATCAAGTTTATCAAAAATCATTTTGTAAATGTTTTACGTTTTTACTTATTTATTATCTGAGTTTTTTCTTATAATTTATTTTTAAAAAATAGAAAAGAATGCAAGCATTAAATTTTTATCCTTTTAAATTTCAATATTTGAAAAATATTTTAAATTAAAAACGAAAGATATATTATTATTAATAATAAATTATTGATCATCTTGAAATGTCTTTAATTTAATTTGTGCATCTAGATCACCTTGTTCGGCAGATTTTTCATACCAATAAATTGCTTTTCCTATATCTTTTGTAATTCCATCTCCTTCTTCAAACATTAAAGCAAGATTATATTGTGCCGTATTACTTCCTAAATTTGCAGCATTTTGATATAATTCAAATGATTTTTGTTTATCAATTGTAGTTCCAATACCTTTATAATAACAATATCCTAACATTGTTATTCCATCTGGATAACCTCCTTCAGCTGATTTCTTATATAATTCAAAAGCTTTATTATAATCTTTTTCAACAAAAATTCCATCTTCATAAAATCTACTAAGACTATATATTGCTATTATATTACCATTATTTGCAGCTTTTTCATACCAATAAAAAGCTTTTTGATAATCTTTTTCAACACTTATTCCTTTTTTATAAAAATAACCAACTCCTAATTGACCACTTGAAAAATTTTCATTAGCCACTTTTTCATAATAATCAAAAGATAATTTTTCATTTTTAACCGTTCCATATCCATGAAAATAACAATGACCAGTAAAATATTGTGATAATAAATGATTTTTTTCTGATGCATTAATAAATAAATTAAATGCTTTCTCATTATTTTCACTTATTACAATACCATAATGATTAAAATATCCAAGTAAAAAAATAGAATTTAAACTATTTTGATTACTTAATAACCAATTATAAATATCTTGTGAATTTATATTATGATTATTAAAATATTCTATAACTTTCTGTTTCACTGAATTTCTTTCAAATCCTTTATTCATTAATCTAAAAATAAAATCATTTATTTCATCAACTATAATATTATAATCTTCAATTGCTTGTTTACTTAATATTACCATAGGATCAACTTCTTTTATATTAATTCTATCAAAATCTTGAATAAGTTGAGATAAATCTCCTTGTGATTCTGAATTATTATTACTTAAACAAGCTTCTTTATTTGATATTTGATGATTTTTTAATATTATATCTGTTTTTTTAATTATGCCGTTTAGCCAATCAACTACTTGATATATCGTTGGACGATTATCTGGTTCCCCATCCCAACATTCTGAAACAAATATAATTTAAAATTAATAATGATTAAATTACAAAAAATTACAAATTTTAAAATTTAAAATACTACTTACTAGTATAGACTTTAACATATTCATTAGGAGTATCAGGAACAATAGTTTCTCTAAGACCTTGCGAAATTTCCAAAGCTAAATCAATATCATATTGTTCATCCTCAACATAAAAGGGAGGTCGCCCACTAGATATCTCCCATAATAATACACCAATACTGTAATTATCACTTGTTTCATTTAATGTGTACATCTGTATTGATTGGTTATTATTATTTCCTTGTCTACTAAAGCTTTTTGGATCGACATAAGGAACCATCCCAAACAATTTAGATTGAAAATTGGATGATGCTTCAATTCTTTTGGATAATCCAAAATCCGATAATTTAATTGTATTATTATGGACTAATATACTACAGGAGTGCTATTAGAGAAACATACAGTATGTATATTCAAATGAGTAATATAAATAAATGTATCATTATTATTAATCATATAATGTTAAATGAATTACCAAATCATAATGCACAATTTCTTTGTTATGTAAGTACGATACAGCACAAGATAACTGGTATGCCATATTATATTTGTCATTCCAAGTAAGCTTACTAAAATTTTCTTTCAAATAACTTCGAAGAGTACCACCGTTAGCATATTCCATCACTAACTGGTAATTATTATGATTTTCTAATGAATAAAAAAAAAAAAATAATTAATAAAATGAACTTTATGAAATTTTGCAATCAAAAGATATGCTTAATAATACCTGACTCAAGTTTCGTTATTCCATAACAACGAATAATGTTATTATGAAAATCAACTTCACGCTGAATTTTTAACTAATGAAAATTTTTAAAAATAAGTATATTAAACAAAATCATTAAACATAAAAAAAAATGTATTTTATATTAAATTACCTCACGAATGATCTCTTTCATGGTGATGTTATCAAGATTAAAAAAAGATTTTAACGCAAATTGGGTTTCTGAATTTTTCCAATTTGCACGATATACGCTTCCAAATTTTCCAGTACCAATATGTTGAATATTATTAAATTGTTTATATTCATAAAGTTTTAAATATTCCTTATCAACAGTTTCTTCAATCCAATTAATCCATTCATTTGTATACTCGGTATCTTGCATTTTGATATTATCAAATGACATCGAACGTATTGAATAATAATAAGTTAACAATAAAGTTGGAAAAAAATAAAAAGTAAAAATTATTGAGTATGCCTATTTTATGAATTTATTTAGTCGTACAAGTTGTACAGTGTTTCTGAATTACCTTTTACTAAACAAAGGTACAAAGGCGTCACCTGTTACTAAACAAAAGCGTCCAATCAATCATGGTACCGCAGTACCGCAGTATATAATGACATCATCATGAAATTTTTAAATTTTTAAGAAATACTATTAGTAATATCAATGTCGTAGAATTTATTAAAAGTATTATTTCAAGCCACAATTATTTCTGGGTATTATTAAAATATATACAACTTCTTAGATAATCAGATTAAAGAAAATGAAAAAAAAAGCTTTAACTCCTACCGTAATCATTCTAAACAACGTATTGAAAATCAAGTTATCAAAAGTAATCATTATAAAGTTTACATTTATATTGTTTAGAAATTTTATCAAAAAAAAAAAATATCATGATTTTATTACATTTATATCAAAACAAATTATATTTTTTAAATATTCTAAAGGTTTTTATCCAAAAATTAAAAAAAATATTTAGTTCTAAATTAGTAAATTTTATTACCATGTGGTAAATATTATTAATTACAAATTTTTAAAATTTAACTTTATTTATAGTTAAAAGTCTAATATCTCGAATAAATTTAATAATTTATAATAAGATTAAAGAATCGTTCGATAATTTAAATTGTTTATTGATTTTTTATTTTTTTTTTTTGGAAAAAGAAAAAAAAAATTTTATTGAATGTTCGAATCTAAACTTTATCTAATAAAGTGACTTTTAATTTATACTATCGTAAAAATATTAATCTTTTTTCTTAATAATAATAAAAGAATCAAAATCAACAATTACCCTGTAAAAAAAAAATGTCCGGAAATTGTAGCTAAAAACATCCGGAAAATGTCCGTGTGTCCGGAAAACGTCCAGAAAATTGCAATATTCCGGACACTTTTCGGACGCCGGGTCNGACATTTTCTGGACATTTTCCGGAAAATGGAAATTTTCCAACGTCCGGAATATTGCAATATTCCGGACATATTCCAGACAAATAAACATTTTCCGGACGTTTTCAGCTACAATTTCCGGACATTCTTTTTTTATAGGGTTAAATAGTATACTAATTCATTAAGAAAAAGTTGGAAGCTATAATATATAATTACTAATATGATAACTTAAAATTTATCAGATAACAAATAATAAGCTAAGAAATTTTATGCATGGAATCTTATTATTCTAATCTTAGTATCGAAAATATATCATTTATATCACCAAATATTAGGATTATTGTAAAAAGAATGTTTCGTTACTTGTTATGTGAATTTTTCTGCATACCAAACTACTTTATAAGTTTCTTAATACTTTTAATGCAAAATCAATATTAGCAAGAGGTTATTGTAAACATAAACTATTTATTATAAAAAAAAATAAATTTGTTAATATAGAACGTGTGCACAATATCTTGTTATACTTTCATGAGGTTGATAAGATTCTTACAACTTGTTTTAATAAATTCATATATAACGAATAGAATAATCTGTCATGATTCTATAATGACATAAATTTACGTTAAGATACTTAATTTTCGCCTAAATTAGTAAATACATTTAATAATTTGAATAAATTTATTAAAATTATTTAAATTACAAACTAAGAATTTTGTAAAACATTTACTACTCTAATCTTAGTGTTTAAATAATATAAGATAAATAAATAAATAAATAAATGATAATAATTTAAAATATAAAAAAAAAACATTGTTAAATGATTATTCAAATCCATCTAAAGTTAAAAAAATAACAAATTATAAATTAATTATTTGCTTTAAAAAAAAAATCTTATTTAAGAACTTACCATCAGGAATTTCGAATTCATCTTGTTCTTTTGAATGAAGATTTGGATTATTATATACTTCGTCTTCATCTGTAAGAAATAAATAATTAAATTAAAAAATAACATAAAATTAAATTAAAAATTAGCATACCATCAATATCATCAATATTTTGTCTTTTCATTTTTTGTTGAATTATTTCTTTTTCATCATCTAAATATTTAAATTAAAGCTAAATTAAATAAAAATATTAACAAAATAATTTTTACTTTTTTTTGCTTACCATCAATATCAATTTCTTTCCTTTCCATTTGTTGTTGAATTATTTCTTTTTCGTCATATTATTTTTAAAATAAAGTCACGTTATTTAATAAATGAAACTGATACAATGAATATTTTTTATTTTTACTTATTTACTCACCATTTGAATTTATTTGTAACTTTATAAATTCTTCAGGTAATTTTTCGCTATCACCTAAAATTAAGAATATAGAAATAGATTTTAATATTTTAATTTATTATTTCAAACAAATCACCTTTAAAATATTTATTAATTATACTTGATAATTTCTTACTATTCTGTTTATTTGATTCATTAAAATCGTTAACTAAAATAAATATTAATTATTAAACATTATTATATAATATTTCAACGCTATAACATTAATAAATACAGTACTTACTATTGTTAGGAATGTTAAAATCATATAATTTACTATGAAACACTATTAGTAGTAAAATAAAGTATTTTAAAAACTAAATTACTATAGTAACCAAAAAATGGTAGAAATTATTATTTATACGGTTAATACCTTCTTGTTCTTCTATTGCAATATAAATTCAGATAATATTAATAATGTATTTTTAAAATAAATACATTCGTTAATAAAATATTATACAATTATACCTTCTGTTGCATTTTTTGGTTCAGGTAGATTTCCAAAGTTGTGAATTTTACTTGTAGATAATCTGCTGCTCGTATAATTTTCTTCTACTTTATTCATTTCTAAATTATTTATTTCTGATTTTAATAATTCATCTGACATATTTTGATAATCTAAATTAATTCTTTCCATTCTTTCCCAGAGTGCATAAGCGACAGGTCTTTTTAATGGATCAGCATCCCAACATTCTTTCATTAAATTTTTATATTCTATTGGAGTTCCTGGCACAATTTTTGGTCTTATACCGTTAATAATATTCACTACAATATCATTTTCATGTTCATAATTTATAAATGGTGTTTGTCCAGATGAAATTTCCCACATAAGAATTGCAATACTATAAATATCTGATGCAAAAGTATATTCTCTTCCAACAATAACTTCGGGTGCTATGTAAGGAAGATTTCCATATATACTTGTTGAAGATTTATCAGCAGGTCCACAAAATCCAAGATCACTAATATACCAACAATCATTAAATTGTGAATATAATATATTTCCAGAATGTAAATCTCTATGAATTGCTTTCTCATCATGAATATAATAAAGTGCAAGAATTATTTCAAAAGTAATATTAATTCTCTTTTTCCATGTAAGTTGATTATGATTTTGTTGTAAATATTTTCTTAAATCTATATCCATTTTATGCATTACAAGCATATAATTTCCATTTGATGGATTTTGCGTTAAACCATAACATCGAATAACATCCGCCCATTTATTACTTATAGTTAAATGTGATTTAGCCTAAATAACAACATGCTATTGTTAATATAAAACACTTAAATTTTACGAATAAATTTATAAATACAATAATACAAACCTCTTCAAACCAACTTTTATTTGCACTTTCAACATTTTCTAATTTTTTTAATATTACTTCGAAATCTCCAATTCTTTTTAATTTTTTTTTTTCAGAATACCATTCATCATATCTTCCATTTATCCAATCTGCTGTATAAATTTCTGAGAATCCACCTTTTGTTAAATATTTAATATTTTCTAAATTACTATATGGGATCCATTCAACTACCATATCTGGCGCCAATGTTTCCATTTGACATTCCTGTATTAAATTATCAATTTCATCATTCCCGGATGTCCAATTTGGAAAATTTTCTTGTAAATAATTTCGGACACAATATTCACAATATAATGTAGCTAAGCATTCTTGGTTACAATTTTCACAAATTCTTCTTGTACCATCATCTTCCATAACTTTATCTCGATCATAATTGTCAGTTAAAACTCTTATCGCTTCAGTTTTTTCATCATTTGTAAGAATTTTATCAGCAAGGATTGTTTGTTTATGAAATTCAAATTGTTTGTGTATATCATTGTAAATATTAGTATCTGTTAATGTTGTTACTCTACTAATTGTTGCAGCAATTAACCCATTTCGAAGAGTGGACATAATGCAATCAATAAGAAAAAAAGAAATAATTATTTTAAGTTCGTTACTCCGAGATAAATTAGTAAAATGCAAATTGTTGATCAAAACTTCATGTTGTGCACACATAAATTTTGTGATCTTGAGGGCGTAGTATTTTACGCCTTATAACCAAAAAAAGAAAAGTATTACTGTAACAAATTTGATTGTCATACTTAATGAATAGATAGTATCCTTGATTATTGATTAATATTCAAAAATTGATAAAACAAAATCAATGAGCAGTATAAAACCTGTCTCTTATACACATCTAGATGTGTATAAGAGACAGATGAATAGATATTTAGTATCCCTGATTATTGATTAATATTCAAATAATTTGATAAACAATACTTATTAATTTATTATTATTTTTCAATCTTATTTAAAAAATCAATATAAACATGATTGATGAAAAGTCAATTTAGTTATTTTCAATTGAATTTATTTGAAAATAAACAACATGGCGAATAATGAACATGAAAGATTATAAGAAACTATTCAATTTATTATTTCTACTAAGAAAGTCAAATCTAAGAGAAGAATTCCTGTAAAATTATATTTATTATTTTTTTTTTTAGGATGTAGTGATGGATCGCAAATATAGGCTTAAATAAAAATATATGGTTTAATAAAAAAAACAAGTTTTAAAGAGAATTATTACGTAACGATTTAGTGTAATAATAAATAAGGAATAGATCAGGCGCAAATATGTCACAGGGTTTTCATATTATGGCACGGGTTTTCATGTTACACAATTCAAATTATTTATATGGAGACTATTCTAAATGGCAGAAAAAATTTCTTTTAGTTTATATATAAATTAGAAAAATTTTCATTCGCCAATTAAATGAATATTAATTAAAAGGGATTACTGATTTTATGGCCAATAAATGTATATTAAATGATTTATGGCATGAATAATAATTTTTTTAATTTTTGAATAAGAATTTCATTAAAATACAAAGAATTGGTCATAATTCTGGCCAAAAAATTGCACAGTAAAAATTAAGGAATTATGAAAGAAATGGATTTTTAACCAATTTTCTGATTCTACCCTGAAAATGAAATTTTGATTAGGTATAGACCATTTTACATTCGAATATATAATTATTTTTTGCAAATTTGGCATTTTAAAAAATCTCAAAAAGTACCTGATTACTATCTTAATACTTTCTATTTAAATTAAAATCAATTTTTTAGGCATTTTCTCATTAATTAACTTCCATTTAAAATTGAAATTTTATTAAGCAAATTAATTTTTGTGCACTTTATAATGGTAAAAAAGTCAGTAATTTTTTCATTGGATTTTTCAGAATTAACCATCAAAATTTTTTTTAAATAGACGACCTTTATTTAAATTATCTAACCTCAATTTCAGTCAGGATTTTGGCTGTCAAGATTTTAGATTATCGGGATCTGTTACTACCAGGTTTTTGATTCAATCGGGATTTGGGTTTGTCAGAATTTTGGTAAACTGTCGATATTATGGTTGTCAAGATTTTTTGGGGATCCACACACTCAAGGTAAAAAGTAATCCGAGAAATGGATTTTCGAAATAAAAAATGGGAAACCACATTATTTCTCTTTATCCATAGATATTAAAATGTGAAATCACATTATTTCTCTTTCTCTGTACTGCGTAGATCTCAGAAAGACCAATTATTAATAATTTTTTTCTTGGCAATCTGGTGAACTTTGATTATATAAAGAAGTCTCTAGGTCCCAATTTCAAGAGCAAGTAAACTGCTACAAAGTGAAAAAAAAACGAAAGTGAGTTATATGAGTGCATTTTAAATATTTTTTTCTGCTACTTTATACCGAAAACATAATAAATTTTTATTCTTGTTAATATAGCACTTTTTCGCGATTACAATGCAATATTCTACTCTCACTCGTATTATTATCATCTATCTCATGATTGTTCACATGTCTCAAGGTAAAAAGCCTAAATATGCATAGCAAATATAATAATGATGCTAATTTTTTGTTTATTTAATAACACATAGCGTACACACTTTCGGTTTGCCTTGATTTTTTCGCGGTCTGTCATGTATACATAACAGATTGTCATGGAACAATTTTAAGAGATGCTGGAAGGAAAAGTTGTAGTCAAAATAAATTTCACTGGCCTGATGCTCCCGACACATATTGCTTACATATATATCCTGTAACAGAAAGATAATAGATGGTGTCAAGGATGGAAAGATGATTGCTTTGAAGTAACTGGTAACCTTGGCGAGTGGAACATATATAGATGTCCTTGCGATAATACTGAATTTTGTGGAAGAAGATGGATCCCCTTTATCTGGTCATATATGCACATAAATTTTAATATCTTGTCCCTGATTTATTATTCCTATGATTATATGTAATGTACATTACAAAAATTTATAGCTTTTCTTGAGAAAAGTAAGACAGTTAATACAATCATGCCTCCAAAAAGACGTAAATCGAACATTAATTTAAAGCAGCTAATTTCAAAAAAATAATTTGCATTTCTAGTGTAAAACAAAGATAGATCGTTTACTACGCCACATTACTGCGCAATTTTAATTTTGTGAAGATATAATTTGATTGACGAATGACGACAGTAATAAAGACTAACTTTAAATATTTCGTAATAACAATGTTGTACCAAATTATCATCATCATTAATGCCATCTTTATTATAGTATGAAAACATATTTTTAAATTTGAGGATGTTTGATAATTTTCTTTTTGAAAAGATTCACCATCTGTCTGACACATGATTACAAGAGAATTTTTTATTTCTTGTCAAATCATTTAATTATCGTTCTTCCAGCAGTAATTGCAGTATAATACAACAAATCGTCATAACAATTTATTAACAGTTAATTAATATGTAAATATGAAAGTAATGATTCTTACTGAAAAATACTCAAAAGATTTCGAATTTAAAATGGGAAAAAGTGAACAATTATTTATTTATACTATTTACTTTTTTATATTATTATTTTGTATTTTATAACAAGCCTAGTTGATAAGAGTCTATTTTATTATTAGTTGCCTTCAAAAAACTCTAAAAACTCTTTTAAACTTCTTTTTAATTTACTTCTTTCTTTAAATAAACCGTACTTCACATAAATTCTAATAGTTGAAGTTCTAAAATGAAAAATCAATAAAATTAATTAATAAATAACTACTAGCAGTAGCCCGTTGCTTCGCACCGGGTCCAATGAATTTGTTTAAATAGAACAATTTAGTATTATAATGTAAATTAAAGATGGACTTTATTCATTGTCTTATGTTTTTCGTATTTGTCGGCACCTTCTGTCCTTCTTGCATCATTCAATATCATCGGCTATTGTAGCCGTTATTTCTTCCTCTAAAACTGGCTTCTTCTATATCCATTGTAGTGCCATAAACCCAGAATTAACTTTAGTTTAAATAATAGAGTATTTCGGAATTATAAGGATTATCTATATTTTGTGTAACATTGATAGTCCGAAGTAATTTGGATCAGAAATGAAGATCATCCTATTAGTAATAATGATGTAATAAGTTACAATTAATTTACGTTGATCAAAGGATTAACATGTAAATTATTATAACTTTTTGACTTAGTATTAGTAGTTCCTTTTTCTTAGAAGTTTTTATTAGTTCCTTTTAACTCCTTTTATTAAAAACAAGTCTTTTTAATTATCATAATTATTCTATAATGTCCTGACGAAATTTTATGATTATATTATTTTACATTTATAAATAACTGTGTTATGATGACATATATAATAAAGAATAAACCTTTTATTAAATTATAAATTTTATGACTTTCATCAGCAAGTTTGAAAAGTGTTGATTCACACCAGTATACGCGTTGATCAACACCAGCTAGTTGTTCAAAGCGTTTTACAATATTAATCAACACCCGTATACTAGAGTATATTAACGCATAATGCTAATATACGCGTTGTTCAACTCTAATGTGTAGTTCAACACATTATGCATTGTTGTTCAACGCGCTGTATATTAACACTTAATTAAATTAAATTATATTTATTTTTACTCACCTTAGGAATTGAACCAACACCTCAACTTATACTATTAATTATCTCACGATCTAACCACTGTACTATTTAATTTAAGTATATATTATATATATTAAAATTAATATTTAAAAAAAAATTATTTCGGCATTGCGTAATGTACTCTATATCATGTGTATCACGTGATAATGGATTATTAATAATTACCGCTGCGGACTGCGGTATGGCGAAAAAAAAATTAAGCTTTTTTTAGCAAGCTTAATTTTTTTTTTCGCTTCTCTTTCACTTTCGTTCTATTTCTCCTTTCACTTTCGTCCCATTTTCCCCCTTTCACTTTCACTTTCACTTTCTTCCCATTTTCCCCTTTTACTTTCCCCTTTCACTTTCGTCCTGTTTCTCCTTCCACTTCGTCCCGTTTTCCCTTCATTTTCTTCCCGTTTTCTCCTTTCTCTCTCATTTCATTTAGTTCCCTTCACTTTTCTTTCCATTCTTCCTTCGTTTTCCCCTTTCCCTTTTCGTTCCTCCTTTTCTCTTTCGTTCTGCCCTTCCAACTCCCGTAAAATGAGCTCCATTCAACGGAAATGTAAATAATTTGATAAATTCCGTAATATAAGGTTATTAATTCCAGAGATATAAGCCTTTTACAGAAAAACTTTTGGTAAGTTTAGCAACGAAACATTGCGAAACTATTTTTCATTTTCTAACGAAACGTTGTTTAACGTTTAGAAATAATTTTTTTTAAATTTATTTAATCGGAACGTTATCTAACGTTCAGATTATTTATTTTCTTTTATTTTTTTAATCGGAACGTTGAAAAACGTTCCGAAATATAATTTTTTTTAATTTCTTTAATCGGAACGTTGGCTAACGTTCCGATTATTTTTTTATTTTATTTTTTTAACGAAACGTTGAAAAACGTTTCATTTATTCTTTTTTTTTAACTTCTTTAATCGGAACGTTGGTTAACGTTCCGATTTACATTTTTTTT